CGGCAGTCGTGATCAGGGTGAGTGCGGGATTTGAACGGTGAATTTCTGCAACAAGCGGCGAACGGGGGTAGCTATCCCCGTTGAGAAACTGAATGAGTAAATAATTGTCCTCTGTCATTTGAGCTACCTCTGTCTGTCGTCTACGTCGTGTCCAATGCTAACAGGCGTCTCTCTCTCTTACTCCGGATCATCAAAGCAATGCTGCAGTTGCCACCTAGCGGTTGAATTCCCGTACTGCCATTTCTAATAGCATGACGTAAACCAAGTACGTAGATGCATATATAAATAAAAAGATATCCCTTAAAATTTGCAAAAGACAATAACCCATCACAGCAACAACACGAGTGCGGGACGGGCAACGAACGGTTTCAGCAACGCCCAAAAAACGTGTCCTCTGTGTGTACAAAACTTTTCAACAATGCAGATGACCACAATGCAGTTCATCAAGAACTGGTGGTTTTGCATCTTGTTTAAGGCTGAGAAGCTTTTTGCACAGTGCATGTTTTTTGTGTGTGGCGTTAAACGATACCACGCAATAAACCAAAACACACGTCCATCTCCCACATGCGTTATACCATTTCCAGCTTGAGAAGAGTAATGCAATTGATGTTAATCAAACTGCATTTCTTTTAAGGCGACTTTCTTAAATCCCAGGTCCCTGTACGTAAAATTATCCTCCTTTAAATGTTTAAAACCAAGCGATTATAATAGTAATTATGTTGATCCGCAGCCATACGTTTTGTAAAATGTAGTCTTCATCTATGAAAGCCAGGCGAAACAGGTATGTGTTTTTTTATGTTTAACTTTGGACAGTCAGGCAGTGCTCTGACAACAGAAAAATGACTGAATACATGAGATTAAATGTATGGTAAGGAAAAACCCTACAGATTACGAATGATTGAATTAAATCTGGCTTAGTTTTAGCTGCAAAATTTTGACATTTCCCATTCGGGGTTAGGGGTACACTTAGAATTATATAAAATGTAATGATGGCGTTTTGTCAATCCATTGCTGGATGAAGGCCCCCCATGCTGTGCGAGTCATGGGGATTGTTTGACCATACTTCACCACCCTGGTCAGTGTGAGGTGGGAAAGAAGGCAAGACTGGTTCACACATCACTCGCCGGGGATGTTAGCCACGGCCGGGAATCGATCTCAGGCCGCCAAGTGCCCGGCTCAGTCCGCTAACGGCTACGCCACCAGTCCCTATGCCTATTTACGAGTAATCAGATTCCATCGACCAGTTTCATGAACAAAAAATCAGCTTCCTCGTGGTATCATTCCACGTTGCAGTGTTCCACTCAAGGAATATTCAACGCGTCCGAGATGACGTCAAGCAGGGAGATGGAGTGATTAAAATTCACTGTGCAGGTGCTGGGTGGATTGCTACATCGCGGGATCGTGAGAGGTAGTGATGACGGCTTGGGGAGGTCTTCATCTAGCAGTGGATTTTTCCACGGATGATGATGATGATGAAGCCGAGTGTTACCGAGATGAAATGCAACAAAATATTTCACCATCTGTGGAGCTAGACTCCATTTTGTGAGCACACGAAAAAATACGTAATCTCAATGAATGAAATAAAAAATAATGGGCTACAGTAAATCAAAAACCACCACGTCAATTCTTTGTTGCTTAAAAAAAAACGTTTAATTGACTAACATTGACTAACAAATAACGATTATTTTTTCCCCATTCAATTCCATTTGTTGAGAGGGTGACTATGTACTCTCTATACGACAGTATTCTGTTTGTCAACACAGTTGCTCATATAATCTGTCACATTATTGGTGTCTACATTGTTTGACCTCCTCTTGACAAGCTCAATGCATATAGGCGATATGAACCGTCGTCATGTAGAGTTGTATTGCAATCGTGATGCTATTTTGGCCTGTCATCCAATTTGCATTCCATTCCATTACATTATTATGATGATGATATCATGATCATTAACAGCAGCCAATGATCTATCCACTGCAGGATGAAGGTCGCTCCGAGTTGTCTCCATAGCTCATGGTGCTGTGCTGCAACAATCCATCGAGCCCCCGCACAACGGATGATCTCACCGTTACATTCAATGAACTATTACATTTGTGACAGAGAAACGTGCCTAAACATACATTTGCACTGATACCCGAGTATAGGCAATGGACAACGTGTCGAGGAAATGTCTGACACCTGACGTTTGTGAGAACTGCATACGGAATAAATCAAGATAAAGACAAATATCACGCCTATACCCTTCAACAGATTGTTGCGGCAAGCGCTGCTTGCGAGCCCCTCATGATGATGGCCAGCACTGCATTTGGTGGATCAGTGTGGTCAGCACCACACGCCGCCGCCGTTGCCTCCTCAGTGCTGTTTACACACCGCACCAGATACATAACGCTGGGCCAACATAGGGGAGGCCACAAAACCATTTCAGCTGTCGCTTGCCACTGATGTTAACCGTGGCAAGGAATCAAACTCCGGTCCCAGGGTTCACACGGCAGCACACTAACCATTAAACACCTCCGATTAGTACGGTTGGCACGGTTGGTTACGTACGGTGCGAAAGAAGCTCAACATACGTACGTTCACCACAGCTCCCCACTAGGTGGAGAAGTGTGCATGTAGCTCTGCATTCAAAGGATGGGAAAGCTTTCTCAAAGTCAGCTCCTTGACCCAAACAGGTCTAATGGCATTAGCAACTGAATATCATCCACTCTGAAAGAAACTGCATAATGCAGGCAATCTTTTTACTAGCCAAAGACAGAGATGTCACCATGCAATTTCTTTTGCTCGCACTACTGGTGGCCAAAGGGCCTCCAACAGTCATAGAAACCGCCCTCTCAGGGTTATTTTGGCCTCCTCTTCCACACTGGCCATATCTCCAGGTGGGAGGACCTGCACTCAACTCGACCTGCCGATCGACTATCTGTGCTGCATTCATATAGATTGTTGAATGAGGCATGGGAGAGACAAAATAAATGCTCAATGATTTAACCGACACGCCAGGAGATCTAACCGGCGACCTCTAGATTTCAAGTCCAGTGAAAATAATAAGACTCACCATGATTATACTCTCCTAATCATTGTGAAACCGGTCTTTAGTTGTCTCTGTTTCCCATTGCTGCTAGTCCATTGGTCACATTTTGCTCAATTTTTTTCTTTGATGGTGCCAAGAGGACCACAATGCAGTTCATCAGAAACTGTTGGTGGTTTTCGCATAGAACGCACAAGGCCGTGCACTTTTTGTACACGGTCTCTGTTATTGCAAACACTGCACCACGGCAGCGTCCTGCTCACGCGTGCGTGTATATATACATAAAATAATAATAGTACATTTATTGAACGGATCATCAATGCTATTGCACATCCGGACCAGCGGCAGTATTTTCGTACGCATTTCCCCCCCCCCGCCGCCCGCCACCCGATCCTCTGGTTCACCGGCTCAATACATCCCATATCTATTTCAGCCAAGCATTGTGAAGGTGACAGGTAGGGTCAAGGGAAGCCGTCCTATTCGGCCGAGACACAATTGACCTTTTCGCGTTACGGCCCAAACCAGGCGGATGGATGGATGAATGAATGGACGCCGTGGATGAATGAACGGACGAATGAATGAGAGCGCGCCGGTGGCACATCGCGCAACGTCTTGGGGCGCACGCGTGCCCTGCTTCTCTCGCAGGCGTCTGGCATCACTGCGCATCACGCAGGGGCCTGGACATCTTGCGGTCCTGCACGGTTACAATCAGCTCCAATGAGCCTTGTGTCAAAGCCAACATTTTAATACAGAAAAAAAATGGATCAACCTCAACAGCAACCACTCCCCCCCACACACACGCACAAAGCATAATTATTCATGGCAATGTCTGAATACAAATCCACTTAACGGAGGATTTGCACCCGCCGAGCAAATTTCAATGTTTGTTTTGTATTAACGTGGGTTTTTATTATTCTGTTGCGATCATTAAAAGGGTGAACAAATGACACTGTTCCACTGGTTGAAATATCCAAGAAAGGTACATTTCCTTACCGCGCCACTGTATTTTCTCGTAACAAATTATCGAACGGCAAATTATTTACCTCTCGGAGTCTCCCAATGATTTTTTTTTCTTTTCTGGAGGTGTCCTGCATGGGGTTGTTTGATTAATCCCGTGAACGTGGTTGGCTTCATGTGGGAAGGAAGCTGGTAGACTGTATTCGTAGATGACCGAGCACAGATTTGTGGCTGTGACAATCAACACTGCCACCTCCCGGACACCTTACGGCCACATTCAAAACTGTTTTTTTTTGGTATTTCATTGAAGTCATTCACGAATCCTGGAATTAAACTAAATGTAACACTCAGTGTACGAAAGAATATTCACGTCGGCGAAATTATTTCTATTTCCTAAGCATGTTTTGATCAGTTTGCCTTTTCCCATTGGTTCGTTTGCTTTGAAAGGGCATACGAAATTCAAATGTAACAGCTTGAAGTGTTCAAATTATAACGCTTTAATCACGACCAATGTCAGCGAATTGAATAAAATAACGTTAGCTGAGAGAGCAATATCTGCCATGCCAATCATTGTGGTAGCAAAACAAATCGCATGGAATTACATTTTAACTTAAAACGTGAACAGACCTTCCCCTGCAGGATATAATTCTCATTAATGTTTGGACAATCATTTTGCATTTGTGAATGATGCCATGACACTTATATAGCTTTACAAACAAAATAATTTGCTCAAAATTGTCCACCTCTCATTCACCAAACAACTAAAATGTCTCTAAGTCCATAGAGCATCCCCATTCAAACCCAGCGTAAGTTCTAACACGACACATGAACCACAGTGAAAATCTCTAGCGAGTCTCAAGACTTTTCCAAGAGGCTCCTGCCGCATTGGGATGGGGCATTTATTTATTCTTTTTGCCAATTCCAGTACCGTTCGTGAAATGTTTGGCTTCACGTGGGGAAGGAAATCGGAGCAATCAGACAACTCTTTGACGAAGTAAACCACAAAACCGTAACTCACCTGACCCCAGCATCCCATGATCCACGGCTTAGGACAGACGTCGCAGAAAGCATCTAAAAGGGGCATCTCTTCTGGTGGCCTCTCTTCCCAATGTCCTGAAGATCTCCGTTGTCAACATTCGAAAAGCAATGCACGGTCTTCTTGTCATGTAGAATAATGTGTCCTCCCCCTTAAAAAATATTCGGTTTTCTTGTTCTTATTCACTTCCAGAGTTTAAGTCTCTTTCTGATACGTCCCCCCCTCCTCGTCGTATTCCAACTTTTCTTTTATGTTTCAAGTCCAACGACCCTTCAAAGAGCGTCACGATGGAGCTCTAAGCACCCAGCAAGTTGTCTTCTTCTTATCACTTCAGTTCCAATCATCCCTGGAGAGACGTGCTGAACGAGGTCTTCGAGAAAGTCAATGCAAAAGTATTATTACGTCCAAAAATACGATCATTCCTTCAATATTCAACGGAAGGTGAAAATAAATCGATGCACCACCCCCTCCTCCTCTGGGCTTTGCAAATCAGCGGGTGCACAAGGGAGGTCGTCACCACCACCACCACCACGGGCAGGCCGCCTTTGTCTCCCTGGGGTGTTTGCAACGTCGCACCGGGGTACTGTACTCACTTGAGGCCGAGTTGACGTAGGCGAGGCCCGGTTCAGATAATCGCCACCGATATTGGCGGTGAATCGCCAGTCTCGCAGCGCTTCCACCGCTACACGACCGCCGGCCCGGCGGCACACGCACGCACCAACACGTGCGCGGAAAGTCATCAAACCCGGGCACGTTCGGACCGCGCTGCAGCCATCGTCATTAACATTCTACCACCCACCACCACCACCAACACCTTGTAGAATTCTGTGCGCCGAGCTCGTCAATGCAAGAGAGAAAGAGACGACGGAGACGACAGCGGAGGCGGTGGTGGCGTCAACAATGAACGGCGAAATTGGCACCACGTGGATCAGAAGACGCGCGTCTCTGGGACGTCCACTGCCCAAAGCCCCCAGGGGGTCGTCTTCGTCGTAGTCGTCGTCGTCTCGGGCGATCTCCTCCCGAGACTCGACGGCCCGTAGCCTTCGTGTAAACACACGAGGCCACACACACGGATTGCGGCTCTGATGGTTTCGTCGCCGCAGTAGCAGCAGCAGCAATGGCAGCTACCACCACCAATAGACCCTCCTCCCCCCCCCAGCCACCCCTCAAACCTCCCTCTCTTGTTTTCCTTTCCACCTTGAGGGATTCCGCTTGGTTTGTACGACATCCACACACACACGTGTACGTGCGTGCGAGCTAAAACAAAATTGGCAAATGTATTCCTCGTCGAATTCCACACAGTGCAAAGCCTCTCCTTCCACCCCGCCTTCTGATTTAAATTACACAGCCGGATTATCACCGTCTCTGATTATGTCTGTATCGCTCTCTCTCTCTCTCTATCGACACTGATTTCCTCCTCCCCTAAAGCGTTCACGGACGCGAGCACATCATACGATCCACAAATAAATCAATGATGCAAGGTTGTTGTTGTTTTTTTCTTTCCAAAACCCGCAAACAACAGCGGCCGAAATGCTGGCAGGAGCTGCTCAGCCCTCGCTCTCCGTTCAGAAAAGAATGAAGAGCCGCAAAGGGCCCCTAATCCACACACGGCCGATGCACGTAGCCACTACGGTAGTGACGGTGCAGAGGCAGGCGCCGTGGTGAAGCTCACTGGACACCTATGCAAGGAAGGAGGGGTCCTGGCACTCAGCCCAGGCAGGCGATATGAACTGAGAACTAATGAGCACGCAAGCACAATATAAATTGTCCCCTTATTTTTTTTATATATACAGTACTGTATATATAAATGTTATGCCTTCATATAATTTTTTATTCAATGGCCAGAAACGCATTTTGATGTAACTTTAAAAACGGAAATGTTTCAGAATGTTTTGCAATTTGGTATCAATCAGGCCATTTATTGCTTTGAATAAAAGCAATTTTCATGGGCAATTTTGGTTAAAATTTCACCAAATTTACTGACAAATTGATCAACAACTGGCAACAAAAAATTACAAGAGTTGCCGCAGTAAAAAAAAAAACATCTCTGTGAACCGCACCAGCTTGGATGGTCCAAAAATAAAAATGCTAATTTCGTTATTCATACAAATATGCATGCACATGGTCGTGAAGTCCACTCTCACGGGCAAAGGATTAAACAAACCTATGGCGACAAAAACCGAAAATAGCGACTGCATCCACTTCAACGAAGTGCCCTTGTAGCCACGTCATGGCAATCGGAACACTGCCTGCCCAGCCAGCTATTGATGCTTCTGCCGTCACACCATCTCCTTGCCATGCGGATGCTGTAAGCCGACGATACTCCCAACGCCCCCGCAAAACGGGCAGCCAATGGACAAATTCAAATGGCTGCCCAAATCCATCATCGGTGGGAAGTAGCGTCAGCGGCCACGGTCAATCTACTGCTGGATGAAGATTTCCCCAAATCTGCTGCCATGCGAGCAAATTTCGTCGCTCCATCTGCTCAGTAGATGCGTACCAGTCCCTGACTGCCACTGTCATTATGCTTGACCATGACGTTGTAAGCCAACAACACTCTTATAGCGACCCATTAGATGTTCAATAGTACGTGGTAAAGACATCATATTCGGCTGCTAATAAAAGTAGGATTGGGTAGGACGTGTTTCTCTCTCAAAGGAGAAGAAGCGATGGCTGATGGTCTGGAATAATGGCAGTGGCGGCCAAAGGAGTGAACTCGCCTGAGAGTACATCCACAACGGAGATGAGGTGATGACATCAGCTCGTGTGAAAAAGGTTTATTGCATCGCAAAACCGCGAGAGAAGGTTATGGCTTGGGGGATGGCTTCATCCAGCAGTGGGTTGATCGTGACTTATGAGGATGAATAGCATCTTATGTGATGTAACGATGGCATGCACTTTATGGTGTAGATGATATGACAACGTTTTGGTTGTGGGAAATATTGATATTTCCTGTTAAGAAGCCCCAGTGTATCCGAGCACTGTGTGCATGGTGCATCATCATGTTCATCAGCATTATGAAATACAACAGCCATTGGAACAGGGCCAGTCAGGAATGATACAACGCGGATTAGTCCATACACACAAGAGCCGTTCCTATCAAATATTTAAAAGTCAAATTAAGAAGAAAAAAAACCCTTGAAGAATGAAGCAAGTTAACAGAGTTGGAATGGATGGGAGGCCTAGGCCCTGGAGTGAATCTCAAGCCTTGTGCTGCATTTCTATGACATGGAAAGTGAGCCAGAGCAGCTCCTGGCCAAGGCTGCGAACCTCGGCCACAGCTCCCACAAGAGCTTGGCTGGAGCCAATGTGGCAACCAAGCAAGCGGGCTTACACTTTGAGTTTTTATCTTTTCTTAATTCTCCCCAAATGTGTTCCGAATGTGCTCTAGTTACCCAAGTTATGAGACGATCCATTCAGATCTTCCGCAGTGCGGTGCATCTCTCCGTGTTATGGAATGGCCCATAAAAATGGATATTACCAAGCTGCTGCTGAGATTCCTTCAAGTGACCTTTGGTCCACACAGCAGTTGGCACCACTTCCATTACCTGATATTATTTTTTAATACTCAGAGCTGGAGTCGAGCCAGATTAAGCGCTGAACAACATTTAACTTCATAATAAAGGTTTTTGGGTTAAATCGCGTAAGTATAAATGTGTTGAAACCCTCCACCACCCGACACAGCCAATTAGTAAGGGATTTGTCACGTTAAAAAAACGCCAAATAGTTACTACATCAGCCCACCCGTGTATTGGAGAGTAAATCCACAACATTTACAATTTGAGTAGTACGACGTTTTGCTCGTAATTACATCCAGCTTCATCGGGCGAATTGCCCAACACACCGGTGGGCTGAAGTAGTAACTATTTGGCGTTTTGTCTACGTGCCAAATCCCTTACTAATTGTCTGTGTCGAGTGCTGGAGGTTTTAGACACATTTCTACTTACGCGATCTAACCCAAAAACCTTTATTATGCATAATATTGGTCGCGAAAGCCTACGTGTTAAACTAACATTTTACTTGATGGGTTTTCATGCAGTCATGCACGACCGAACTGAGACCATCAACTCACTACACTTGCCAACCCAATTTTATCATGGGCGGCCTGCCTGGATTCAAACTCAGGTCTCAGCTGTGCCAGCTCAGTGTTTGGGAACTTTGAGGAACCCGACCACCTCATTACTTAAAAAAAGATATTTAAAAACAATCTATTGTCTTTTGACCCAATTTTTTTTACGAAATAAATACTCGAAAAGGCCATATGGAGGAAAATATGGGGAAATATCACTTACATGCTGAAAACTGAAAGCACAAGTGCACGCACTCAGAGAAGCCAACTTGCTCGCTCTTGATGCCAATGACCCATCAAACAAATAAGCTACCATGGTAATTATCCGACTTCACCGTCGAGTCCTGTGATATCTATCGTCACACCATTCTCAACAACACTCTCAAGGCCTGGTTCATTGCCAATATATTTAATATTCTCATTCTGCTCGAGATTCAGAGATCGAAGGGGAGGGTTGTGTTACTTAAAGCAAACAAGGTCACTGCGAGGCATTTGTTCTACTCAAAAATGTGCTTTGAATGCTGCCAAACGGACATACCGCCGTTATATTTAGCATATTTTATAAACATGCGCTGCATTTAAACGCATGTATACGACTATTTTTAGATTTAGATAAACTAGTCTCCCTCTTCCCCTCCGCCACAAGACTGACTAAAGGTTTGTGCATTGATAAACAGAAGAAAGATAATATTGCTGACACGAGGGAGGATGAGAGGCTGAGTCAACCCGAGTTGGCATTTGAAACTCAAGGCCGAGCTAATACTCCTGCTCTACTCAAGCAAACTAACTAAGCCTCAGTTGCACACCGTTATACACAACGAACCACCTATCGCACGACGCACAAATAACACAAGCCTCACATTCTTCAGTAACACTGCGGCCTTGAAAGGAAAAAAAGTATGTACTAGGACGACAAACTTGGAATTGGTCCTCCTTCATAGCAAATCAATCATTTATTATATGCCACATGGATCGGACATGTTGTGACACTGACGAAAAGTTGGAAAGTGTGCAAAGAAGCATGGTTGAGGTGCAAGCTTGGATTAACACTGAAAGTCAGAAATGGGGACACATGGATAGGGCGAGAAGCACGAGTGATTTCACATTGATTGTTAAAAATAACAAGTGGTCTAAGACACCTCATCACTGAAGACTAATGATGGAGTCGCAGCCAAGAGAGGGAATGCACCTGCGTTGTGGGATGCAATTACATGAATGACGCTATATAAAATGAAATTATTATTGTTATTAAGAGAATGACCTTAGTTGTGCGTATGTATGTAAAACTTATTTCGCTCCGTACGCAAACAACCGTGCTAATCGGAGGTGCGGGGGAAGGACATCAAATTGAACATAAAAATAATTTCTCAACAAATTAGCTTTCAATCTAGATTATTGTGAAGTCCATTGCTCCAGCGGCTTTCTAATATCGGAAGGAAGAGAGTTCCAGACGGCCGCAGAAGATGCATCTGAAAGCGCACGGTGCAGTGACCATCTTTGCTCGATGGCCAACCAAAAAGCCGCTGCCGCTGCTGCGAGAATGAGGGGAGTTCACGTGACGATTTACGCTTCTTGGCAGTTGGGGAGGTAGAGCGATGATTTCAGATCGTGTGCACAAGTTTTGATGAATCACGGCATCGCGAGATGCGATAACATCGGCTGGGAGTGGCCTTCATCAAGCAGTGGGTAGATCATGGCAGATGATGATGAAGATGAATGAGTAGCAACACTTAACAAGGCAATAGATGAGGCAAATTGATTTGTCCTTTGGGGTAAGGGTTGAGGGCTGGGTTGTGGTGTCAACGCTGCGTTGGGGGGGGGGGGAGCAAATTCTTGGAGATGGCATCACTCAAAGAAAAATCAACATCAACCTTAAAAAGGGCCATTCATTCCCGCCCCCGTCCATCGCAGCCCAAAATACGTGACGCAAACTGCCCGAGAAGTCAGCTAATTTTCTTGTGAACTATTTTTTTTTTAAATCGTGTTTTCCCTCTTCATCGTCGTCACAGCAAGCCATTCACAGAGGGACAGTACA